TTATGGGGAGCATAAAAAAATCGTTAATCGCGTATAGTATACAGATAATTCTGAACAACTTTGCCTGAGAAACTATGGATTTAAGCAGCTTTTGTTGGTACAAATTCCGACGAACCGCCTCAACAGTCAGATATCGTACTGGGATCGTTAGAATATCAGAAAGATCAGTGAAAACCACGATTAGTTCCATAATCACTCAATTCGAAAAACAGCGTCACATTAACGTCTGTGAAACCATGCTTTCTGACTACCAGGATTTCATGAAAAGTATTACTACTGGCAATAAGTCTTGGATCTGTGCTTGCGACCCGGAAACAGGGATCAATCGACCGAATATCATGGCAAAGGTGAGCCGACCCCAAAAAAAAAAAAACAATCAAAATAGGTCAAAAATGTAGGTTATGTTGTCGGTTTTCTTCGATTATCGAGGTTATGTTTGTTTCGACCGGCCAAACTGAATACTAGTGGCATACTAGTGGAATGTTATTCATTTGACATTTATTTCACAAGCAAGGCATTTGTATTGAAAGTCGCTTAAATTAGCATGTATTTTCAGCAAAAATATTTTTTTATTAATAAAAATGCATTCGTATAAATTTTTCATTCACTTCTTCAACCAAATATCCTCTACACGTTTCCGACACCAGCGCCTCATCGAATTACTCAAATGTGAATAACTCATACATTTGCGCATATTTGCACTTCTACCTAATTTACCAGTGGCTAACAGTGAACAAATGCTTGAGAGTTAGATTTCTGGCAGCCTGCAATAGCATGGCTGAATAATTGAAGATGGCGATTGACATGAATGACTTTGAAGAGAATAGGGCGACACAGTTAAAATACAAATAAAAAGGGGAAGTTAAGGGTTAACCCTCTAGTAGGCGATGAAATCTAAAAATAACAAAAATTGTTGTTATCGTCGGTATATTTCGGCATATAACCACTTAAAAGGCAGACGCTGCCCTCGGGATATTTTAGCACTTTGGGCACTTGAAAAACACGCTCTCGTGCACTGCACTCATATTCCATATGTGGCAGATTGTTTTAGAGGATTTTATTAATTTAAAAAATTCCAGCAATTCAATTGAATAAAAATTTATTTAAACAGGAATTCAAAGCCTCGGCACATATAGTCTGTCTTTACAGATAGTGTGAATAAAAACCACGACATGATGATAATGACACCTTCATGATGGTTCTATAAAAAGGAACATACTTTTGATTGCCGTAGGTCTAACCTCTCTATGAAAAACTAAAGTTACAATTTCAATGTGCATTATGTATTTAGCACGCGATATTTACTTTGCCTTATTGTTGACACCACAAATATTCCTAAACTTGAAAATTATCGTAAAAAATATAATTTTGATAAACCCGCCACCAAACAATGTACGCTTGCGCACACCCTTGCCCCGTGCACGCGCCAAATGACGCAGCCAAAAATGCAAACAATACGGATGTGTGGACGCGCGGCGTAGGAATATCGATTGCCTTTGGGGTTGGCAACGCACTCGACACGTGAAGTAGCGCATAAGGAGCATAAGGGAGAGATGCAGCGCGAGATGATGTTAAGGACGCATGTTTTGCTTATTCGGAGTAAGCGGCAAATGGGACGGCAGACGGCGATGATCAAACACAGAAATATGACACTCAAGTTAGGGTGTTAGGGCCGAGCGTTAAACACGCACTTTCCACAGAATCGAGTGCTTTGCGAAAGACGCATTAATCCCGTTGAAATAATCCCACATGTCAAATGCTCAACCACCGAGGCAACGGCGCTGGTGTGCACTCTGACCGAGTCATTGCAACCGCACGAATTGGACGCATCGACATCTGTACACCCATCCCAAAGCAAAGCAAAAAAAAATTTAAATATTGAAATTGCCATTGTCAAGGGATGTTGCACACATATACATACATATACGTGCGTGCACCCAAGGAATATACAAATATGTGTGGTGTTCGTATTTCAACAAGTCACGCGAGTACACAGCAGGGAGCACGTTGTCATTAGAACTTCTGTGCATCAAGCCTAAAAACACACACACACCACGGGTGCATGCATGAGGAAAGCAACAATTTACTCCTTGAAATAAATGTGGCAGACTGCATATTTGTTTAAGTGCACACATTGAGTGCATTTTAAAAGGCAAATTGGAATTTCATTTTATGACCTACACATACATACATACAGCATAAGCATCTGCATTAAGGCCAAACTCCGTCTTGTTCTCAAGTCGTGCCCTATACAGTTCTTCCATTACTCAGCCACACCCATGCCTGTAAATATGTATATATGCATTGTGTTTGAATGTATTTGTTCAGCTCATAGGAAATGTGATCGATCGCTCTTTTCAGTTTGACAGTATCTATTTAAAAGATTAACTGCACTCCACTATTTGTGAGGAAGTACCAGACGTTGTCTACAGCAGTCAGCTGGCTATAGAAAATTCAGACATTATAATTGTACATATGTACATACATATGTAAGTAGATAATTTAAATGTGGTGATATAAAGTGAATGCTTTCAGTTTTAAGGTAAGTGACTGCTATTCGGTGAGTCGTGGGTTTGAAGCCTACTTTTGGGCTCTTAACCCATCTGACCCATATTTTGCTGTTTTTTTTTTTATTCTAACTGTAAAATAGGAATTTTCAGAGATATTCGAGAAAATAAATTCAGCTTCCTGTTAGATATTTCAGACAGAGAAAATGTCGAATCGCAGGCAACTGTAAGGCTGATGAGCTCGCAAAGAAGCGTACCTTATCCACGCTATCAGTAGAAAGGGAACGGGTCGGTGCTTCCCTCTCTTCGTGCGTTCTACTAATGAATAGCTGAGTTTCGTGGGGCGCAGTTAAGCACTTCCTTCCTAATCGTTCCACGTTTGCGGTATCAAGGTTTAAACACTTGGTAGCTCACATTTTCAGATCAGCCATCTAACCTAACTTTTTATATGTAAATTTTAAGGTTTAACGAGAAAGCTTTTAAGAGAAACTTTTGCTCAAAGAAAGCGTGTTTATGCCAACGAAAATTAATCAAAATCATATCACAGCAGCATGAATGAAAAGAAATGCTCGTCTTTCAACAGGGCACAATTTATTCATGCCTACTTTAGAGGAGTCTAGTAAAATAAATAATGAAATCAATGAAAGTGTGAATTACGTATTAATGAAAAACATAACATTTGCTAGCTTTCTTAAATCCACACATGCCTACATATGTATGTACATATCAACAGTTTATTCTTTTTAGACGAGCATTCAAAAATCTCCAACTTTACAATATGAAGAATAACATCGGGCATACAAACATTTTTATTGTTTCCTGAATTGAAATGGTTAATTTATGCAGCCTTTTGCCAACTTTTATGTGTCATGTGATGCCATCAGCCATCACCAGAACCCGCCATCAACAAATCCATTATTTCAAGCACAGTTTTGTCAAAATTGAAAATTAATCGAGCAACCGAAGAATTTTTTAATATGAATGTACTTGCATAATTACATTGTACATAAAGAATAAGTACATACGAGTATTTGTACTATACCAACAAATGCAGTGCGCATAACTTCTTCAAACTGGAGATTTAGATTTTTTATTTTGTTTAAGCACTAAAGTATAATTTAGATACTTTAATTTTGATATAATATCCAAAAATTTTAATTGTGACATACAACTAGTGCTCTCGCAGTTGTTTATTTTTACGATGCAGCATCTAACCTCAAACTTAATTCGATTCATAATATATTTTTTTACTAAAAAATATAATTAAACTGTGCTAAAATTCCCTTCAAGTTAATCTGTTTAAAATAGCCAAAGCGATGTTGCGCTCTTACACAAACTGTAAAGTGGCTACCAAAAGGCAAATGCAAACATATGGCGCGCAAATTTGTGCGGCAATCTTATCCAAAAATTTTAATTGGCATGCATTTTTTATTTGCATACTGGAATGCTCTATAACCGCAGATTTTTTGTTTTTTGTATGTATGGCTCTAGAAATGAATGGGCTACGAAGCCATGCGCCAGGAACATATCTTGACAGATCAAAGTGTTTGAGCGACGCCCTCATCGTTCAACCTATAATTTGATGTGATCCATTTCCACCGAAAACAAACATATAAGCGGCATGTGTGCCTATTTTTAGCAGCCTACTGGAAATTTAATGAGAATTCCGATCTTTGTGCCAATATGTGTTTACACTAGGGTGGGTCAATGCTGTTTTCAACCAAAATATTCAACAAGATCATCATTCATCACTTCTTGAAATACATAAGTTCACTGCCACGTCCAGTTTATTTGGGAAGTGGAAAGAAAATAGGTTTCAACTTTACATACGTTTTACAGTTAGTTGTGTTAAGTGTTGCTGTATATTATCATATGTTTCATGTGCTCCTAGTGGAAGTACTTATTCTATTTTTACCAAAAATATATATTATTTGCGAGTTTTCGAGAGAAAAGTTCTGCGAAAGATTTATGGTCCTTTGCGCGTTGACCACGGCGAATATCGCATTCGATGGAACGATGAGCTGTACGAGATATACGACGACATTGACATAGTTCAGCGAATTAAAAGACAGCGGCTA